GAAACTGGCAGATGCTCATTGCAGCTGTTTTGTATTATATTTGGGTGGAATTTGGATTTAATTGTTAAAGAAAGAGTAAGGTGGGGAAAAAAAATTCATGTGTAAAGCCGTTAAGAATAAAATTTTGGCAATGTTATTACTTTTATTCTCATTTAATAATGGCAAGTGAATTTTTTTTCTTCTAAAATTTGATAACATTTTCTCTCCTTGTGTAGCCCCTGAACATGATCCTCGATGATGGCGGTGACCTGACCAACCTCGTCCACGAGAAATACCCCCAGCTCTTGCCTGACATCAAGGGCCTCTCGGAAGAAACCACCACCGGAGTCCACAACCTCTACAAGATGATGCGTGAGGGCAAGCTCAAGGTTCCCGCCTTCAACGTGAACGACTCCGTCACCAAGGTACGGGGGTTGATGTAGCGGTTGGTTGTGATTGGGCTCGGATATTTTGGGGTCGGGATACTTGCCGGGTTCACTCCGGAAGTGGATGTTGGGGTGTTGTGAAACTGCTACAAAGGGGATTATTCTGCTAGATGGATTTTTTTTTTTTTTTTTTTCTTAATGTTTGTATTGTGTTCTGTGTTCCACCTGAACTTGAAGAGAGCCCAAAAGTTAGAGCAAAAAACAAAGAAAATGAAGAACCAGAGTTAAACCTATGATGGGTGGTCCTTTCAGTTCGTATGTTTGGGCTTTAAGTGTTTTGGCTCTGTAGTTTTAGCATACATCATTGATGTCAGGAGTTTCAGAGTCCTATATCAAAATTTACAGGGGTGTATATTTTGTTAGGATAATTTTATTAATTGGCAGGTGGTATTACTTTGTCTTTTATCATGTACTACATTTGCCAGAGTACAGCAGTTGTCATGTTATTCTGTTGTGTGTTACTGCATATTCCTATTAAGGGGTTGTTATCTGTCAAGAGTAAAACCTGTAGTTCAGATAAAGGAGTAAATTGTTGACATGCAAGAACTCTGGCTATCTTTGCGATGCTGAGTTTGATGATAATTTTTATTTATTTATTTTATTTTATTTAATTCATATATTGTATATAGCCAAACTTCTGCATACTACTTCCATTTGATACATTTCAGGAAAGGTATTCTCCTTTTAAAATCCTGCAGATATTTCATTATAGAAGCAAAGTTTTGAATTAATTATTGGGAAAACTGACTTGTAATTTCATAATTGCATATTCTGCTTTAAACCAGTAGATTACCAGGACTTTTTATTATTTATATTTTTTGGTAAGAATTTAAAAATCTTTTACTTGATTAGATTTATGTATGAAATTTTAATTTCTTTTTTTGATTTGACACTTGCAGAGCAAATTCGACAATCTGTATGGTTGCCGTGAATCTCTCACTGACGGGATCAAGCGTGCTACAGATATCATGCTGTCTGGCAAGACTTGCGTTGTGGCTGGCTATGGTGATGTAGGCAAGGGCTCTGCACAGTCCCTCAGGGCTTTTGGCTCCCGTGTCATCATCACAGAGATTGACCCTATTAATGCTCTTCAGGCTGCCTGTGAAGGTTACCAGGTAAAGTGTCTTCAGTCTTTAAGTAGTATTTTTGAACCTTATTAAGTGAACAAACACAAACAGTAACGTGTACACAAGGATGAAAAGGAAAAATGTCACAAGAAGAAATGAAGCAATATCATAATGTTTTTCTTAGGTATTTGGAAATTGTTCAGTGTACCTTTTATAGATTGGGTGTCATGAGTTTTCATTACTGTCCTTCTTGCAGGTAACCACCATGGAGGAGGCCATCAAGCAGGGTGCATCCATCTTCGTGACCACCACTGGTTGCCGTGACATCATCACTGCTGAGCACTTCAACTCCATGAAGGATGACTCTATCGTTTGCAACATCGGTCACTTCGACATTGAGATTGACGTGAAATGGCTCGACGAGAATTGCGTTGAGAAGGTGAACATCAAGCCCCAGGTCGACAGGTACCTCCTCAAGAACGGAAACCACGTCATCCTTCTGGCTGAGGGTCGCCTGGTTAACCTTGGCTGTGCTATGGGCCACCCTTCCTTCGTCATGTCCAACTCCTTCACCAACCAGGTCCTGGCCCAGATTGAGCTGTGGACCAAGCCTGGCCAGTACCCCGTTGGTGTGCACTTCCTGCCCAAGAAGCTTGACGAGGAAGTGGCCCGCCTCCACCTCGACCACCTTGGCGTTAAGCTGACCAAGTTGTCGACAACACAGGCTGAATACTTGGGACTGCCCTCAGAAGGACCTTTCAAGCCTGAGCATTATCGTTATTAAATTTCCAGAGTACAATTCTGTTGTAAAGCCCAAATCCTGGTAAATTTGTAAATTTGGTTTATGCTAGTCCTTTTTCCTTAAATTGGAATTAATTTCAAAATGGTCCAGTTAAGCTTAAGGGTTCTTAAAATTATAGTCAACAGCAGTGGATGTCTTGCAATTGACATCCTGCAAAGTTTTAAAGCCCTTCAAGTTTTTTGGGTGATACAGCTGTGTGAATGAGCTGGGTGTGTGTGCTAGAGTGAAGGTCAAAGTTGTAAGACTTTGATAAATAAACAATTTTTGTAATTTATTTCTTTTATTACACACTTTATATACTCCATCTTCATATATATAATATATATATGTAAAAACAGTTTCTTATTTACTCTCCATGAAATGCAACCATAGAAGAAAAGCATATATTCTAATTGATGTTTTTGAATCAATTACTGTGTGGTATAACAAATTCAGAAATATGGTTTCTCTTAAACCAACATGTCTATGAAATCAATTCTTGAGAACCTGGTAATGTATCAGCTACTTAAGTGTCTTGTCAATAATATTAATGTTTAAAAATAAAATGAGTTATTAGATTTGTCTTTTCAGCTGTCCTTTAAAAGCAAGCAATAATATAAATGTTTAGATATTAAATTTCAAAAGTCCGTCAAAGTCACTTATAGAGATTGTCTACAGAATCAGGTTGAACAATAGCACCCAAGACAGATTTCAAGTCAATAAGTGCTTCAAGAGGAAGAAATATGAAACAAATAAGTAAAATTAGCCAAAAATGTCTGAGATAAAGTAAGAGTAATCTTTTGAACGTCTACATTCCTTGGCATTAGTGGGAATCCCCCCCCCCCCCCATCCCTTGCTCATTGTTGTGGGGGAGGGGGTTTAGGAGGCAGGGACTGAGATCCAATGTGGAGGATAACCCCTACCTTAGTCCTCAGCCCTTGCCTCCACTAATTTTGCATGGTCTGTTCTTCTCCTTTCCTTTTTCTCTTTTTCATCCCCTTCTGTCCATTTTTACTGTTCTTGCCAAAATACTTTACCGTAATGCTCCCTACTCCTTTATCTCCTTCCCATTCTAACAACATTTACCTTATGCTATACATTGTCACCGTCTCTACTCTTTTCACTACCATACTACCTTCTGGTATTGTTCAACCTGTAACTTTACCCTAATCATTAACTCATTCCTAACCCTTTTTGTTATTCTACTTTTCCATAGCACCATATGACCTTTGATGTCAATTAGCACTTCCTTACCAGGGGGCTTTGCCTCCATGCCTCATGCTATTACTATATTTTGAATACGCCGCTAATGACCTTCGATGTTGACATGGCAGAAAATTTTCAATAAATAAATAAATAGTGGAAAGGCAACTGATCATAAAATTTGAGTGATGAAGAAATTGCAAAACAATTCCAAAGAATTAAAATCTCTCCTGTCAGTGTCGCTGTAAGGGGGCTTAGGAGGTGGAGACTGAGGCCCAGTGTAGGGATCACCCCTACCTTGGACCTCAGCCTTCACCTCAACTAATTCTGCAGGGTCTTTTCTTCTCTCTCTTTTCTTTTCCTTCTCTTCTTCATCCCCCTCTGTCCACTTATCCAAATTGTTAACTCATATTTACCCCTTTTTGCCACAATACTTTACCATAATGGTGTGTAACCTTTGATGTCTGATACATTTGTTTGTTTTAACCATTGACCATTCTGGAAATCCACAAACATCACATTACTGAACCAAAAATCTAATGCTAATGACTTTAGATATTGATGCAGCAGAAAATTTTCAATAAATAAATATCCAGTTGCAAAATCAAGTTTCATTTCATTGTTGTTAAAAATAGAAATGCCTAGCATTTCCTACATTTCTTTTTCAAACCAATGTATTTGAAACCAATAATATGTAATATTGTTGACCGTGGTGAGGATAGGTGTACATGTGGGCATCATACTATGCCTGGCCAGGTCTGGCTTGTGGTGGCTTAGTGTGTGACGCCTCATCAAGGAAAACATTGAATGAACTCATGACGCTGCATCATGAGCATCTGTGATTATTTATCATATGACCACCTCCCCTAATCCCTTGCTTGCTGTTGTTGTTGGGGGGCTTAGGAGATGGGGACTGGGGCTGGGGCCCTATGTAGAGGATCACCCCTACCTTGGTCCACAGTCCTTGCCTTGACTAATTTTGCAGAGTTGTTTATTCTCCTTTCCTTTTCCTTTTCTTCATCCCCTTGTTCAGTCCATTTATCCTAATTGTCAACAATTTTTTGCCAACAAAACTTTATCATAATGCTCCTTACTCCCTTAACTCCTTCCTTTTCTAACAACCTTTACCTCATACTATACCCCATCAGCTCTCCCTCTCTACCCTTTTCACTACTACACTAACCTATAGTTCTGTTCAATCTGTAACTTTATGCTAATCATTAACTCTATAACCCTTTTTGCTACTATACTTTACCATAGTGCCATATGACCTTTGATGTCATATAGAACTTCCTTACCTAGGGGCTTTGCTTCCAAGCCTCACACTATCTGTATTTTTTTAATATGCTGCTAATGACCATAGATGATGAAATGGCAGAAAAAATTTCAATAGATATAATAAATACCATGTGATGGTATGTAACCCTTTATTAATGGGCTAAAAGTTCAGACATAATTTCTTAAAAAGTATTATAAATACAGACCAATGAAAAGAGGAGTAATCATCACAAATAAAACAAGAAGTGTGGAAATTCCTTTACTAAATACGCATTTAAAATTCACACTAATTTTGTGTTCTCTTTTCATACAAAAAAATTAATATATGCTCTAAAATAATATAATTTTCCTTTTAAACACTCTACACAATTCTTGAAAGAGAAAATAAATATATCTCATAAGTCAATATGTTAAATACAATTTGCATCACATCTTACAGAGTTCTTCAATTAACATACGGAATTACAGAAGTGGATATTCAACTACATAGCTGGCAGGAAGAAATGTGAAGTACATACCCTTAGCCCTTAAACACCACTATATGGATGGAGATAAGGAAATATAATATAAAAACTATATCTGCAATATCATACAACATTTGTGCTATCTCAATATTATAATTTTGGATTACTCAAAAAGTACCATTAATAGTAAATCTGTTCGTCAGGAGAATGTAATAAACAGGATGAAACTTCTAGCCAATATCAAGCTGAAGACAAATTCCATCTGATAAATATATCAATGTATGTGTTATACCCTGACAAAATTTTAGTGCAAAAGAATTACCAATCCAAAGAAAACCAAAGATCACAAAATCTTATCACATGATGATCTTTAAGGACAGATATAAAACAAAGACAATAACAATATATACGGATTGGTTTTTGAATCAGAGGAATGTTCCCATACATGTGGCTTAAAATAAATAAATAATGGACCAGTATTGGTGTCTGTAGTAATTCCATTATGCTTACTCAAAAATGAGAGAGAGAGAGAGAGAGAGAGAGAGAGAGAGAGAGAGAGAGAGAGAGAGAGAGAGAGAGAGAGAGAGAGAGAGAGAGAGAGAGAGAGAGAGAGAGAGAGAGAGAGAGAGAGAGAGAGAGAGAGAGAGAGAGAGAGAGAGAGAGAGAGACAGAGAGAGAAATAGAAATAGAAATAGAAAGTGACTGTGGTCTGTTCTGCCAAGACTCTAGATCCAGTAAGAACGAAAGTGATTTCAGTGAATTGTGAATAATGAGAACTATTATTGCTCGAACTTTTTCCTGTGTGTGTGATTCCTAATGCTCCTTTTAACTGATGTCATATAGGATTCTTAAGAAATTTTACAGCCAGCCATGACTTCTAACTAAAACCTTAGAAGGACCAAAAGTCTTGAAAAAAATAATATAGATATAAAAGAGATACTGATACTGTATATGCTTCAATATAAAAGTAGCACTTGTTATGTAAGCACTTTTTCTATTCAGAAAAAAAGGAGGAAACGTTTAAATTTCAGACCCTGTTATGGTAGTTCATATGTATTTACAAACATTTTTTGGCAAAATCTCATATATGAATAAATACAACATAGATAACCATATTACATGAGAATTAACAATATACTTCCAACTAAATAAGAAACTATTAAGACAAAAAAAAAGAAAAGAAATAATGAGAGAAAAAAGTATAAGTAAAAGACCTCATGATAAAGAGCATCTTAAAGTCTACCAATAAATGAGGAAAGCTGATTCTTTTGTTGTTGATAACTGAACAACGTCATATGTAACAAAAAAAAGAAAACAAAAAAACATAAACAAATAAATATTTCATTATATACATAGTATCAAAATATACAATCAAACTGTGCACAACTGTGTTCTCTAGGGTATCAAAGTATATACAGGGGAAAAAAAAACAACAAAAAACCAAATTAAACAACAAAAGAAAGAAAAAAAAAGGTGTAAACTCTCATGGTGAATTATGGCACACAGTTAATATGAAATCAACGTGCGTACACAACCTGTTGTGTGTCTTCAACTGACCGATCAAAAGATCAAGCAAAGCAGCATCATTTATTTTACAAGTTGGAGAGATGGTATGTGTTATATTGCACTGAGAAACAGGATGATAGTTGTCACTCCCTTCGTGGCTTCATTACCCTTTTCAATGACTCTGTTTTATTGTCTGAGGAGAGCATCGATCTGGAACAAAGAAACAAAAGGGAATTTAGCAATATAACTAACACTCAAATGTCCTTTTTAGTTACCCTCCTTTCAATACAGTCCCTGAAGCTTATTTTGCATATTCATTCTACGAAAATATCCCTGCTACATTATTAAAGAAATAAGCAGGGAGAAGTATCTTACGTGTCTACCGAAGCCTTACCTGCGCCTTATACATCTCCTTCACATCTGCTAAGTCCAGACGTAACTCCTCCACCTCCTCTACCTTCTCACCATGCATCTGTTATAAGTATCATATTAATTATATTAATAATTCTCATACTACTACTTCTGTATCTGAAAAACAAAACTGTATCTTGCATATAATTACTTTCTCAGTGTACTGCTTGCTATTACAATTTTTTTTTTTTGGTTTCAATCTATGAAAATATGGAATCTGCAAACTCATAAAAGTGGTGTCACATTGAAGCATAATTCTCACATATGATATCTTACAACTGAAAAGGAACTGCACCTATTCTCTTCCACTTCTTGTACTTCTATCACTTGGGGACCTACCTGCAGCAGAGCATTGTATTTCTGCTCCATGTCTGTATATTGTGCCTTTAGTCTCTCAAAGTCCTGCACTTTGGTCTGAAGTGTTTCAATTTGCCTCGTCATTGAGACAAGCTCTTGTGCTAGGGACTCACGCTGTGCCTCGTACCTTGTTACTTCACTGTGAAGATGGTGGACTTCCCCTGAAGGTTTTATATTATTTAGTGGGTTGTTGGACATACAATTATTTGTAATTAAACATAAAACTTTTTTCTCTCAACACAGGAAAAGAGACAGGGTATTTGTAAAGGAGAGAAAGGGAGAAACTTTTCGAACAACATCTGACACAAACAGCACACCTTCTCTCTGTCGTAGCTGTGAAGTAAGAGCCTCAACCGTGGCAGTTGCATTTCCTCTCATGGATTCATAGAGGGATGTTCCTCGAGACCAACCTGACTCAAATACTTCATCCTGCAATGCAACAAAAGAATGTTACAGTAAGTCTTTCGCCAACAAGTCTTCCTCATCACTTACACATTCTATAACTATCCTTTGAGAGAGGGAGATTACAGAAAGATGAAAAGAAGGAAAGAATGAAAAAAAGAAAAAGAAGAAGTGTTTAAGGGATAGAAAGTAAGAAAATAGAAGCATAAGCAACAATTCAAAAAAAAGGAAACATGGTTTGACACAGACACAGGGAGACAAAGGCAATATATGTAAAAAAAAAGAAAGAAAGAAAGAAAGAAAAAAGAAAAAGAAGATAAGATAAAAACAACGAAAAACAACAACAACAACAACCTACCCCCCATTGCGATCCAGAGAAAGATTCGTTCAGGGACCCGGTCATGGATAGCCGAGATAGAGAGGGTGTCGGTGAAGAGCGTGGGGTACTCGTGTGGCTCTCCCCCGCACCGCTCGTGGCCTGAATTAGCTTGCGGTCGCGTTCTTTCACCTGGTCTTGAAGGGCCAACGTCTTCTTTTTCTCTGCCGTTAAAGCTGTTTTCTCGATCTCCAGCTGCTGTTCCAAGCTGTCTCTCTCGCGTTTCACTTCCCTTATTTCGTCAGCGAAGGATGTCTTGAGAGCTTGTATTTGGGTGCTCTCTCTGTAAGGTAATCTCCAATCAGTGAAGGATGTATTGCATATCCAATCCTCTCGCATGTAACAGACTTCTATATTTATTTCTATATCGTTCCCATGTCTTTTTTTTTCCCTTTCTATCCCTCTTTAGGCTAGAAGTGGAAAATGAGAGAGTATATCTGTGTCTACATGTGGCTGTGTCTGTGTAAACATCCTGTGAAGGTGTGCGCATCTTTGGTATGTGTACGCATATGTTAGTGTATGTATCTGTGTGCATATATGTCTGTCTATGCATCCTTGTCTGTATGTGTGTCTGTGTATATATTTACATACAAAAACAAGAATATATGAGAGAAAAATGCTAGAGATATGAAAGAAAGAAAATTAATTTGCATACACACATACACCTCAATTGGCTAAGAATAAAAACAATCATGGACTCGACTACTATATCAATATTTAAGTACAAGTGAACAACAAAGATGTGAGAAATGAATGAAATGACCACTTACTTCGATCGCGTTTCCGCCAGGGAGTTCATTTTCGCTGTGAGGATTTCCAGCTCGGAGGAAAGCTTTGTGTTCTCTGCTTGCAAGTTGGCCACCTACAGAGACACAAAGGAAATCAAAAAGAGGAAGAAGAAGCCACACAAGAAGAAGGAAGAAGAGGAATAGAAGATGAAGATGGAGGAAAAGAAGATAAAGTAAAAGCAGAAGAGGAAGAAGGAAGAAGAAGAATAGAAGATGAAGATGGAGGAAAAGAAGATAAAGTAAAAGCAGAAGAGGAAGAAGGAAGAAGAGGAATAGAAGATGAAGATGGAGGAAAAGAAGATAAAGTAAAAGCAGAAGAGGAAGAAGGAAGAAGAGGAATAGAAGATGAAGATGGAGGAAAAGAAGATAAAGTAAAAGCAGAAGAGGAAGAAGGAAGAAGAGGAATAGAAGATGAAGATGGAGGAAAAGAAGATAAAGTAAAAGCAGAAGAGGAAGAAGGAAGAAGAGGAATAGAAGATGAAGATGGAGGAAAAGAAGATAAAGTAAAAGCAGAAGAGGAAGAAGGAAGAAGAGGAATAGAAGATGAAGATGGAGGAAAAGAAGATAAAGTAAAAGCAGAAGAGGAAGAAGGAAGAAGAGGAATAGAAGATGAAGATGGAGGAAAAGAAGATAAAGTAAAAGCAGAAGAGGAAGAAGGAAGAAGAAAAAAGAATTCTGGATATTTAGATTAAGCTTATATTTCCTATATTTCTCTACTGCCCCTTTCAGCCCATATACAATTTTGGTGGTTTGCCTTAACCATTAGAGGATGAAATGAGGCAATTTTTTAAAATGAGGCATTAGTTAATATGGCAAAAGTTGTAGAAGATTCCTGCAAATCTAAAT